TGATATACAGTTTCTCATTTTCATTCAAAATATTTCCTGATTTATTTTTTTCAACGTTTATTTTTGAGAGCAAGTGAGCATGAGTGGGGGAGGAGGAGAGAGAGAGGGGAATGGAGAATCCGAAGTGGGCTCCGCGCTGACAGTGGCAAGCCTGATACGGGGCTCAAACTCATGAAATGGGAGATGTGACCTGAACTAAAGTTGGATGCTCAACTGACTGAGCCACCCAGATGCCCCTCTTCTTTAACTCATGGGTTATATAGATGTGTGTTGTTCAATTTACAAATATTTGGAGGTTTTACAGCTATCTTTGTAATTTTTACTTTTAATTCTGTAGTTGTCCAAAAATATACTTTGTGGGAGAATATATTTTGTAGGATTTCAATCGTCTTAAAGTTACTGAAACTAATTTTATGGCCCAGAACATAGTCTGTCTTGGTCTACTTGAAAAGAATGCGTATTTTGTAGTTGTTGCATATAAAGTTCTATAAACGCCAATCGGGTAAAATTGTCTGACAGTGTTGTTCAATCTTCTATGACCTTACCAATTACTGATTACCTGCATCAATTACTGAAATAAAAGTGCCTGAAATTTCCACTATAATTATGAATTTGTCTATTCCTCTTTCACTTGTCAGCTTTTGTATATTATGAAGCTTTGTTATTAGATGCATATTTAGAATTATTATATCTACTTGATGAGCTGACCCCTTTATCATTATGAAATGTTTCTTTCTTCCCTGATAACATTCCCTGTTCTAAAATCTACTTTGTTTGGGGAACCTAGGTGGCTCAGTCAGTTAAGCGTCTGACTTTGGCTCAGATCATGATCTCATGGTTCGTGAGCTCGAGCCCCGCATGGAGTTCTGTGCTGATGGCTTGAAGCCCGGAGCCTGCTTAGGATTCTGTGTCTTCCTCTCTCTCTACGCCTTGCCCGATCACTCACTCACACACACACACACACACACACACACACACACACACACTCTCTCTCTCTCTCTCTCTCTCTCTCCCTCTCTCTCAAAAAGAAACATTAAAAAATAAAATAAAATCTACTTGGTTTGAAATTAATTTAGCCACTCCAGCTTTCTTTTGATTTATGCTTGTGTGGTATAACTGCCCATCCTTTTAACCTACTTGTATCTTCATACTTAAAATAGCTTCCTTGGTGCTACGGACTGAATGTTTATCTCCCCCCAAATTCACAAATGGAAGCTTATACCCCTAAGGTGATGCTATTTGGAGATGGGGCTATTGGGAAGGAGTTAGGATTAGATGAAGTCTTGAGAGGTGGCCCTCGGGATAGGATCGGTGGCCTTATAAGAAGAGAGAGGTCTTTCCATGATGGTTGGTGGGAATGCAAACTATTCCTAACCCCGTGTGAGCTTCAAAAATTGTTCTGCCTTCTCCTTTCTGGCAGTTATTTCCCTGGTCTCAGGTATTTCTTCTCCCACACGGGCAAATCAGTCCTCAAAGACAGAGGGGTCCCTTTAGATCTGCAGCTCCCTCCTTCCTGATACTCTGGCCCACAAATCCTTTCTATCTTGGCCTCCTTGACCTCTTGGTGTCTCCTCAACTCAGTGAGGTCCAGGATCTGTTCAGGTTCCCTTTCCCTGTACGGGGCTGTCTCCAGTTGGGAAGCTGGTATAATTGTAGGACTCATCTTGTTTGAAAAACACGTAGTCCAAGACTCTGATCCTTTGGAGAAGAAGATCAATGTCTGAAAACTATTTAACATATTCTGCCTGGTTCTCCAGTTGTTTACGGCAGAAGGATAAACCTACTCCCTGTTAGTTGATCTTAATCAGAAGCAAAAATTTTTTTACTCATTTTGAAAAAATCTGACAGTTACAGAAAACTTGCAAGAACTTCTATATACTCATTATTCAGATCTCATTTCCAACTGTCCCAGTAATGTCCTTTAGAGCAAGAGGACCCGGGATAACACATGGCACTCAGTTGTCTTGTCTCCTTTGACCTGGAATACTTTTTTTTAAATACTTTCATCATGAGATTGACAGCTTTATAGAAGTCAGATCAGTCTTTCTGTGGAATGTCCTTCAATTTGAGTTTTCTAGTATTTTCAAATGATTCGACCGAGTTATGCCTTTTTGACTGGAATATTGCAGAAGCAATTCTGTGTTTGTCTCTATTAAGTAGCACAGGATGCCAATTTGTCCCATTACTGGTGTTGAATTTGACCACTATTAATTTGGCATCTATCAGGCCTGACTACAAAGTTACTTTTTTTCCTCACTCTGTAATTAATTAGTATTTGGCAGGGAAGTTCTTTCAGATGTAAAATCCTATCCCTTATCTTCTCATCTGCTAGTTTTAGCATCAACCGATCTTTTTTGGTCTCAATTGTTACCATCTTAACTGCCAATTGGTGATTTTCTAGTTCCATCATCCTTTCTGTATTCATTAGGTGACTTTCTACTTTAAGTGGGTAACTCAAGGATTTCTATTTTGTCCAATAGGTTATAATCTGTTACTATCATCATTTTGATACTCAGATTGTCCCAGATGTGGCCAGTGAGAACACCTTCAGGGTAGCTTCTGTGTTCTTTTGACACATCACCCTTATTCCCTAAGCACTTCCATATTTCCTGGTACAGGAGGATGTTCCAGGTTTATTTCATTCTTTCCTCGCCCAGCCCTGGAGTCAACCTCTTTGCCAAGCAGCCCCAATTCCTTTTAATGGAGACTCATACTTTTAAGATCTGAGAGCTATGTGTGCTCACTGCTGCTAGACAATTGCTGCTCTTATTACACCTTCTCGGCGAACAAAGCCAGGACACACATGCACGTATCTGCACACGAACACAGATACATCTCTTCTTACTTCTCCATCTATACTGACCACCATGAATTCCACACGGATGCCGCCTACTCCACCTCAGCACCACAGGGTTCACCTGCATCTCTGTCTCCCAGGCCTGTAACTCCCTTCTCCAATAGTGAGAAAACTGGCCTCCATGACCCTGCATACACTTCCCTACTCCATCTCCCTGCACGCTGCCAACCTCCCACACCCGCCACGCCACTGTCCCCCTCACACCCCTCCTCTGCCTGTCCCTGGCCCCACTGGGCTCCCTTCCTACTCCACTGCAGCTTGCCTAATGGCTTTTTGACTGGAATGGCAGACAAGCAGGCACATCTTGCTTTTAAAACCAAAATACATTCCACGAATGTGTTTACTTCTGCTTTAACAGAGCCCCCGGGTTTCGTGCAGAATAAACGCTACAATCCAAATTACAATTATTGAAAGGGAAATTAAATCCTCACACTTAAAATCTGATTTATCAGCCTCCAAAACAACAAATTCATGCTTGGATTTCATTAGGTCCATTTAAGAACTTTGGCAATTTATTTCTGTAGTCTCAACGGTCTCCTCGAAAAATACCCTGCGCTATTTTTTTGTCCCTTTCTATTTTTAACCTCAACTTTAATAAGACAGGACAAATACTTTGAATTTAATGTATACACTGTAGGTTATTAAAAATCAGGTTTCAGGGGTGCCTGGGTGGTTCCATCATTTGAGCATCCGTCTCTTCATTTCGGCTCAGGTGATGTACTGACAGCACAGAGCCTGCTTGGGATTCTCTCTCTCGTTCTCTCTCTCTCTCTCTCTCTGTCCCTCCCCTGCGTGTGCTCTCTCTCGCACTCAAAATGAATAAAACATTAAAAAAAAATCAGTTTTCAGGAAAACCACCTCAGTTTTCAGGAAAACCACCCCAGTAAATCAGGAGATTACCACCAAATCTCCTACCATAAATTTAATGTGCCACTTTCTGCATGAGAAAAATTGTTTCAAGTATTTTTCACTAGTAACTTCAAAAATGTGTGGTTATCCTAGAAAGCAATCATCTGCTCGTCTGTGCCTAGGTGGCTCAGTCAGTTAAGCGTCCAATTTCGCTTAACTGATCTCTTGTTTTGTAGGTTCAAGCCCCACATCGGGCTCTGTGCTGACAGCTCAGAGCCTAGAGCCTACTTCGGATTCTGTGTCTCCCTCTCTCTCTGCCCCTCCCCCACTCGTTCTTGTTTCCTTCTCTCTCTCAAAAATAAACAAAAACAAAAAAAAAAGAGTTGGATGCCTTACCAACTGAACCACCCAGGTGTCTCCCCTCGATTTTTTTATTCAAAAACTTCCCACATCACATAAGCTTGTCTATGAAACACAACGTGGCACTCCAGCTCATGCCACATGCCAGTCCACCTTCAAGTTTCATCTCCCCAGAAATACTCCCTCAATGCTGAAAGAACCCTCTCAGTTCCCAACTCTGCAGCCCAGGGTTTAATTCCGCTCTGAAGAACTTGACCATGTGAGTGTTCCTACTGTTCACTGTTCATGTCTGTCCGGGTATCCTAGCTTTTCAAAGGACTATACCCAGTATTTAGGGGTTTGTCAGAAAGCTGCTGCATTTTGTTTGATCAAATACCTTAGGAGGACTCCTAGACAAAGGTAGACAAAGGTTTCAAACCAGAACTAGTCACTGAAACTGAAGAGAAAAATGAGTAGCAAAGATAGGGCTTGGCAAAAACAATAATTCCCCACAATCCACAGCCGGCTGTCGACAGCCGCCTCCCAAGTGATGCCCCAGCACGTTAATGTGCCACTTTTAAAACTTCCATCTTGATGGGGGGGGGGGGGGGGGCAGGTGATTGTAGGTTACTATATTCAAAGGTTATGTCATTACATCCAAATATCACCATCAACATACAAACAGGAGACATAAACCAAGCAAAGAACTCACTTTTTAATTAAACATAAAACTATAAAGTTTACAAAGCACCTAGTCTTCATCATAGCCGCCTACCTAAAGAGACCCACTCCCATCCATCGTTCCTACGCCAGTGAGGGAGCAACGAGTCACCCCGGCCCAGGGCAGGCACAGCCCGGACAATGGAGCATGTGTGCGCTCTGACCATCGCACTGGGAGCGCCGCTCGAGTGGAGAAGCCGCTCCGCCTAGCTGGCCGGTGGCGCAGGGAGACGACTGTGGCTCTGCCATTCCGGCTTCCACATGCCGGCTAACACGCACTGGGCCGGGTCTCTGCTCTCCAGCAAGGGAGGCGGACGAGAGCTTCTTTGCACCTACGAGGGGTGTCCTCTCATTTCTCACCAAACGGTGAGTTTTCAAGACAAACTCTGCAGGGGCGCCTGGGTGGCTTAGTCGGTTAAGCGTCCGACTTTCGCTTAGGTCATGATCTCGTGGTTCGTGGGTTCGAGCCCCGCGTCGGGCTCTGTGCTGACTGCCAGCTCAGAGCCTGGAGCCTGTTTCAGATTCTGTGCCTCCCTCTCTCTCTGACCCTCCCCTGCTCACGCTGTTTCTCTCTCCTAGAAATAAATAAATAAATAAATTAAAAAAATTAAAAAAAAAAAAAAAGACAAACTCTGCAAACAGGGAGTGGGTTGTGAGCACACCGCCTTCCCTAATGCTGTGGCTCGGGGCCAGAGGCGGGCAAGCGTGGAGCAGATGGAGTCCTGGCAAGGTCTCCGCTGTCCCTGCATTCGCAGCATCTGCTCATTACTCAGAACCTTCGCCTGCTTTCTCTAATGCTCCAGGAAAAGCATTTTGATTTGATTCATTTCGGTACGGTAACGTGCAACACAATTAGTGGTAAGATCAAACTGGAGTATGGCCAGTGCTGACAATCGGAAACAAGGCAGAAGAAATATGAGGCCGGTGGGTTGGAATTCAAAAAATCACAACTGTGGATCACCTTGCCAAGTCTCAACACCCCAGGTGGGTGTGCAGTGTTCTTGCAGGGCAAGGAGGCTGAAAAGGAGATAGGGATGACTTCCTTGCTCCCAAAGCGGCTCCATCTCCCCTCTGGATCAGACTCTTTCTGTGGAGAATGCGTGTGTAGACCTCAGTGGGTACAGAGCCTCCCTTTGGCACAGCCAGACAGCCGAAGTTCATTAACTCATTTCGTCATCTTATTCTTCTTTTCTGCAGGGCAGTCGCCAATATTCCACAGCAGACCCCACAAGGTACGTTGCTTTTTCACTGTGTTGTGCCTAAGAAGTGCCCGTCCGCTGCTCCTGGGAAGGAGCAGTATCAAAATGTACATCTGATGATTTCAATCCGTCTTTGCCCAGAAGTAGCTACTCATGAATATGTTGGTATAAACATCACAGTGTCAACCTCTTAAACTGAAGTGCGACCAAAGACAATGCCACCTGCGGTCGGGGAGAAACATGAAGGGCTGGGTAGCCCATCAATTGTTAAACCCCAATCAGATTGGTCAAGCCAGCTGAGTGAGAGGGAAGGTTCTCACCAAAGAAATAATCCTAATACCAAATGAACTGGAGACCAACCAAAGATTTCAGCATAAATGATGGAAGCACTATAGATTTGATCTATCCTTAGAGTAGTGTTGATCCCCCTAAGCATGTAGTGAAACTCAGAATACAAACATCATGGTGTAAGAGTAAACGACAGACAGATCAGTGGGAGTAGAGCATAACATCCAGAAACAGACCTGGGTACTAGGAGAATCTCGCGTCTAAAAACTTATAAAGGCAGCACCTCAAACCAGTTAGGTAGGTAGGGATGGGCTTTCTAGTAAGAGATGCCAGAAAAAAAATTCTCAGGTTCATATTGTATACTGTCCCAGGATGAACTCTACATTGGCCAAGATTCAAGCATGAAAAATAGGCCCTAGCTTATTAGAAAGAGGTACAGTAGCAGGTACAAAGGTGAAAAAAAATTCTTAGGCTAAGAGAAATGTAAACTGAAACTACCTTTGGGTACCATTTTTTTTTTTTTTTTTTTTTTTAATATTTTAGTTTTCAGTTCTCTCTACACCCAACGTGGGGCTGGAACTCACAACCCGAGATCAAAAGTCGCACTAACATTAAAAAAATTAAAAAAAAAAAAAAAAAAAAAGGGGCGCCTGGGTGGCTTAGTGGGTTAAGCATCCGACTTTCGCTTAGGTCATGATCTCACGGTTCCGTGGGTTCGAGCCCCGCGTCGGGCTCTGTGCTGACTGCCAGCTCAGAGCCTGGAGCCTGTTTCAGTCTGTGTCTCCCTCTCTCTCTGACCCTCCCCTGCTCACGCTGTCTCTCTCTCTCCTAGAAATAAAACATTAAAAAAATTAAAAAAAAAAAAAAAAAAGTCGCACGCGTGCTCCACCGACTGAGCCAGCCAGGCGCCCTTGGATACTATTTCTAATCTGTCAAACCGACAAATACCTAGATGTCTGAAACACATCTTGCTGGGAAAACTGTGAAGGAATAGGCATACTTACATACCTTGCTGGTGAGAGAGCAAAACTATATAAACTCCATTTGCATTTACCCTCTGATTTCATCAGTTTTATAAGAAACTACCCTTCCTGCACATACAGGAAAGGTGTTACAGGCAGGGTCTTTCACTACAACACTGTAATGGCAGCAGGTCAGAAACCAGTTCCTCGGGGCGCCTGGGTGGCTTAGTCGGTTAAGCGTCCGACTTTCGCTTAGGTCATGATCTCGCGGTTCGTGGGTTTGAGCCCCGCATCGGGCTCTGTGCTGACTGCCAGCTCAGAGCCTGGAGTCTGTTTCAGAGTCTGTGACTCCCTCTCTCTCTGACCCTCCCCTGCTCACGCTGTCTCTCTCTCTCTCTCTTAGAAATAAATAAAAAATAAATAAAATTAAATAAAATTTAAAAAAAGAAACCAGTTCCTCAATAAGGGACAGGGTCAAGGAACCAAGGTCCTTATACACATCGAATACTGTGCAGGTATGGAAAAAAAGAAGGGGCTGTTTTTCTCTACACAGACATGGACATGCTTTCAAGACGGGTCATTAAGTGAAAAAAGCCAAGGTGTAGAATAATATAGAGTAATATGTGATCTTTCACTTAAGAAAAAAGGGGAAAATGGGGTCCTTGGATGGCTCACTAGGCTAAGTGTCTGACTTTAGCTCAGGTCATGATCTAGCGGTTTGGGAGTTCAGGTCCCACATTGGGCTCTGTGCTGACAGCTCAGAGCCTGGAGCCTGCTTCAGATTCTGTGTCTCCTCTCTCTCTGCCCCTCCCCCGCTCATTCTGTCTGTCTGTCTCTCTCTCTCAGAAATAAACATTAAAAAAATTTTTTTTAAAGAAAAAGGGGGGGAATAAGAATATTCATATTTGGTTATATTTAAAATACTGAAATATCAGAAGGACAAAAACCTAAAATATACGGTTGCTTTAGAATGGAGTGGACGAAATAGGTAAGAGCAAGACTTCTCAGCGTGTAATCGTTTATAACTGTTACATCTTATATCCCTAAAAATGTAGTCAAAAACATTAAGTTACAAGATAAAACCCACACACTTATGGATTAAAAAATTAAATTATGGGGCGCCTGGGTGGCTTAGTCAGTTAAGGAGTCTGGCTCTTGATTTTGGCTCAGGTCATGACCCCACGGTTTGGGAGATCAAGCCCCACGTCAGGTGCTGCTGCGCTGGGTGTGAAGCTTGCCTGGGATTCTCTCCCTCCCCACCTCTGCCTCTACCCTCCCGCCCCCACACACACACTCTCAAAAAGTTAGAAATATACACATATACAACTACCATCTTGAAAAATAAACCGTAAATAAGGTGCACTGGAAGACAAGTGACCAGCTGAACAAACACACTCGTGTAGGCATGGCAAGGACTCCTTCCTTATCCCTTTCTTTCCAATCAGAAAAGAGAACCCAGAGAAAAAACAGGGACAGATAGGAACAAGCCATTTGCAGAAAAACAGGGGAAAAGTAAGACAATGAAATTCAGTGCATTCACATAAAGGCAGACAAAGACAACAGGAAATGCCATTTCCACCTGTCAGACCGGCATGAATAAGCCATCGTTCTCATCCATTTTGGTGCGACCATTAACCGGTTGAACCGTTTTGGAGGGCAATTTGGTGATATTTATCAAAACGTAAAGCGTCTGTAGCCTCCAACCCGGTAATGACTAGTAATTTACCCCATAGCTGGACTTGCACGCGTCCATCGTGATACTTGAGGATATTGCTTGCAGCGCTGTTTTTAATAACAAAAATAAACAACCCAAGTGTGTGTCATTAAGGGCCCTGATAAATAAATCATAAATACAGCCACTTCCTGCCACAGTCCACAGGATGAAAAATAAAGTCTACCTACACATGCCAATGTGAGAAGATACCAAGATGCGTCATTAGGTTATTAAAAAAAAAAAAAAAAAAAAAAAGGCAAGGTGCAGGACAGCACATCACACAGGGCCCCTGAGCACAGCATGAGAGCGACAGAGGTGGGGGCGGGACGGAACATTCGAGCTTCTCTTTGGATACGTTTTCTTTTCATTTTATACTTTTGCTCTGTTTGAATTTTAACTGTATCTTTTAAAATCAAGTTTTAAGAATATATTCTGGCCATCATTTGCCGCAGGAGGCAGGCTCTCTACCCTATCTACGTGGCTCCCCGGTGTTTCTGTGCAGCAAGAGGGAAGGGGGGACAAACGTGACGGTCACCAGTAACACGGAACCAGCAACCCGCCGGCCCCATCTCCTCAAACTGTATTTTCGAGCTCACAAGACCGGGGATGTAGGGGTGCAGATCAACCAGGTGCCCCTTTATCCAGGCGTCTGTGTTTACGATTGCATTGGCAGTGCGCTATGACGACCCTGGCGTGGTCTGGGACACACCCTCACACTTCTGGCTGCACCCCTACCAACTCAACCCCCACTGAATCACTCCGTGGGCCTCTCTGGACCCCCATTTCCCCACCTGAAGAAAAATGTGGGTACACGCACATGTACATGGGAGGGGGAGGCCAGGATTCTCAAAACATAGGATTCTAATGGTACTACCACCTTTGCATACTTGTATTAAAAAAAGAACTCACTGGTGATTTGGAAAGTAGGAAACACACTCAAGCTGATCTGTTATCCATCCAGGATCTCGATCAACAGAGAGGAAACCTACATACCACAGAAGCGGCTTGGCTGAATTTCTAGAGGCTGAAAAAAATCTACCAATGGTGTCTACTAATGCCAACCTGAAAGAACAGAGTTCATGTTGTGAAAGCAATAAACTGAAAATATGTTCAAGATTTCGGCCCTATTTTTTAAATGACATATGGATCTAAAACTGCCCATGAGCTCCTTTACTGCCGTTTCGCCCCTCTGAGCCAACCACGGATTCTGAAGATGGGCAACAGAACCATGGAACGAACAGTAACATTCCAAAATATCTTGTGCTTCACCTTCCAGGCAAGTGGGGGAACCAAGCTTAGAGATTCTACCTTCACAAATAACGGAAGGTAGGAACACGGGCTGTCATGGCCATCAGAATCATCATTCCTGTTGGCTACAAAACAGTCAAGTGTTTCATGACTTAGGTAAATACAAGTTTACACTCTTCTTACCTAGTTCCGTAAATCCACAGCTGTGCATACACAAAAGAGTTCTATCAATCCCAGGGAGAGCACGGATCACCGTCAATTAGCTTGTACGGTATGCATGCGCCAGGAAAAGGTAGGCACAGACTTTTATTTTTCTATTTCCATATTTGTCGATAGATTATCTGTCTACCCCCCCCTTCCCTGTTCCCTTTGGACTGAGCAGAGACTGAAGGAAAAGTAGGCCAAGTATATTTAATATTTTATACCAAACAAGCTATTTGCTTAAGATGGCTTGGCCAGCCTCGTGTCTGGCACAGAAACCCAGTCTACCAGCTCCAGTAGGAATTAAACACCAGTCTTACTGGGTGCTGTGCTCCAGTGCCTACTAATGCACGGACGGTTAGCGGCCAACTTCTTCACATAAAGGCAAAGAGCGGGCGTCTGTGTGTGAACATGTGTGTGTGCCCACGTGTATGTGTGCAGGGATTACAGGGGGGAGCCGGCCACAGCTGCTTAATTTTTGTAAAGCTTTTTTTTTCCTCCTTAATAGGGAGGAGGGTTGCGGTTACTTACCATCCTCATAAGCCGCTACCGCCAGCGAGCTGTTTATCCTCACAAAGGAGACATATGGCTGCATTCCAGGCTCGTCCTCCTCATACTCCGATTCCAGGAAAGGGGCTGTGTAGCCCCAGGTGCGGGTGTCCCACACCCTTACGTCCCCTGATGTGTATCTGGAAAAGAAGGGCACGCTTGGTTCCAACGGGGCCCGGAGAGCAGGGCCGTGGTGGAGGAGGTGGGGAGAGCCTTACAGCGACAGGGCAAGATGACCTGGTCGGTGTGGTTTAGACGATTGGCTCCAACGAGAGAAAACGTGAAGCAGGTGACAGAAGGCTGTCACCACAGTCACGTTCTCACAGCACAACGGCGACAGTGCAACGAGAACGGCACACGCAGCCCTGGAGATGAAGATCTCCTCCACGCCGCGCCGCCCAGGGCGCCACCCCGCCTTCTCCCAGCAGAAATCTGTACAAGTCACAGTGTTCACACACACGCACTGAAGACAGGGACAGAGACACGCGAAGGGCTAACGGTCTTACAAGCACGAGCTTTCTAATGCCTCATCCAGGCATCAGATCTGACTGACTACATTCCCTAAAGACTAATTGATTTGCTGAAACAATTCAATCTTGCCTCTCGCAGCCAGACAATGCTGCTTTTCCCTGAAAGGCTCTTGCCCGAACACATGACACTCCCCAGCTTTGCCCGCTTAGGAAGCAGGGGCACTCGCTGTCTCCGATCACTACTGCCACTCCAACAAATGACTCTCGCCATCAAAGCCAAGGCAGGACAGAAGCTGCTCAGACACCAGGCCCCACAGCCACGAGGACGAGGGAATGGCCAGACCAGGCGGTGTGTGGCCCGCCAGGGAGGGAGTCACACTCAGCTCCTCGCATCTGCTGCAGAGGGTTCGACTCAACACGTATGGCGACTGTGGGGAGGTGACTTAGGAAAGCTCTAGTAGTCTAATGCTGTACCCCCCAAGCACAGAGACAGGCAGGCGGTGTTAAGCAGGTTCAGTCTTCCTGAGGCCCTGGCCATAGGTCCTTCAGAGCTTCTTGGCTCCAACACTGAAAGTATAAACACTCAAACAAGACAATCCCTGAGATTACTTACCTACTGAAATCTATCACATGGTCTATGAAGTAGTAGTTACAGATCGGTTTCTCATGTGAGATTTCTTTATAAACAAAGATCACTTTGAGAGAGAAGGGCTTCGTTTACTGAACGTAGTGGTATTCCCCTCAAACTACTGATGGTAAATACACTTGTCATGTGATTCAAAGGTGGTTCTGTCATGCAAGTTCCCTCCGTTGGGGATTCGGCTCGCCGGAGCCTGGGGAGTGCACGGGTGGTGTGAGGAGCCAGTGGGAGGGATGTGCTTTCTGAAATCGGATCAGGGAGCTCTGCGGGGCCGCTGTTCCTCCAGTAAATAGGAACATCCGCTCTGCGAGTGTCGCAAAGCCTGGCAATAAGCAAGCAAGAGTGGATATTGCTACCACCACGGCCCAGGCACGGCCACTGGCTCCCAGGTCGTCCGGGCAGCATTCCAGATCACCCTTCCTACTGAGGAAACTACACAAGAACACACACCGCTGCACCCCATCTACCAGGCTCCCCGTGACACCCCGACGACAACTCCAGCGTCCCCTGGACAAAGGCACTTGCTTGGCTGTAGCAACACTCAACACAGATAACATGCCTGACTGTCTACACTGCGCATGACTAGATTTTCCAGGTTACATTCCATGTGGGAGGAAGGAGCCATTTCAGAAAAGAAAGGTGAAAAGGGCGGTGATGCGCCCGGAAGTACAGAGAAGGGGCGGGAGACACAGAAAGGGAAAGGGTACGCAGGGGTCAGAGCACGAAGGGACTTCGGGGCGTGTCCACCTGCTGGGAGGTGGGCTTCCTGTCCGGTGATCACCAGTTCGAAGGGCCACACCCACCGGGGACCCCAGGGCAGCATCTCAGCGGCCTGAGCTCCAGCCCCAAGGCCCCGTTACACACACAGTTCAGAGGCAAAACAACAAAACCCAAACTTGAAAAGCTGCTGGACCACACGCAGCAGTGAGCTGGGAGGCACAATCCGATGCCCCCCCGCCCCAGCCCTGGGAGGAGGAGGGAGAGGGCACACAGGGCACCACAAAGAGCGCTCTAGTAACACGTGGAGGGTCCTGATGGGCCTGTCCCCCACACAAAAGTCCCACTCCCCCGGAGACGCCATGTGTCTAGAATTAAATGCATGTGCTCCTAGAAAGGCTTCAGTTCACGCAAATTAGCCTGTTGCTGAATTCCTTCCTTTCCTCAGTGACCCTGTTAGTCCCAGTCACTGGGGCAAAACTGTGAGGCTCCCCCACCCCACACGTCCCCCGACACTGCCCTCTGTGTTCACGTGGCCACGTCCTCTCCGTTCCCTTGCCCAGGGATGCCACTCTGGTCCAAACCCCTCAGCGCCTCACAGCCCCTTAACTCTGAGCCTCCCTCAAAGTCAGCCCCGCACAAGCCAAGCCCTCAAAAGTACCTGATGACATGAACAGTCCTCTCTGCCTCCCTTCCCCTCCACACTAGACCAAGTCCCCCTGTGATCCAGCCTAGGCGACAGCAGCCTAGACTTTTTTCTCACGACAACTGTGTGTGTGTGTGTGTGTGTGTGTGTGTGTGTGTGTGTGTGTGTGTAACTGCTCATCTTCCCAAGAACCTACAAGCTTCTCAAGCCAGGGGCTGGGCCTCCCTCACAGCCGTGAGCCCGACAACTAGCGGACTCGGGCCGGAACGGCACTGGACGCCGGGCCTCGCACGGAGAACCCTCCCCAAACCAGCTGCCAGCCAGTCTCCTCTTCGCCTCTTCCTCAGCAGGAACCAGCCTCCAGCCAGGCCCACCATTCCTGGCTCCCACGTACTCTTATCTCTCATCTTTGTTCAACTGCCCGCCTTTCTGGGGTGCTACCCCCCTGCACACCCAGCCCGGTGGGTCCCAATGCTGGCTGCACCTGAGAATCACCTGGGGCTGTGCAAACTCCTGATGCCTGAAGCACACCCAGACCAGTTAAAACCGGACTCTCCGGGACTGGCACCAGGCCATCAGTGTCTCCACTGTTTAGGCAAGATGGAGAACCCCTGCCCTAGCCCAAGCCTACCAACCCCTCCATGTCTGGCACAGGCCCTCCTCCCCCACCCAGGAAGCCTTCTCTGACTCAACTACCACGCCCTGTGCCTGAAGAAATGGCATTCATCACAGTTACATTCCATGTGTCAACTTCAGGGTCAAGTCCCTGAGAAGGCCAGATACCAAGTTATTTCCCTCGCTGTGGCTTACACACAGCCAATGGTAAACAGTGGCTGGAAGGGGGTGTCCACATGTAACAACCTGATCGGTTTGAGTGGCACCTCCTTCTACTCCCACTGCCGACGGTCAGTGATGCACGCAGGACACATACACCAATAGGTATTAAATTCCCTGTATTTACTTCCAAACTGATTAAAGTATCTATAAGAGGGGCGCCTGGGTGGCTTAGTCGGTTAAGCGTCCGACTTTCGCTCAGGTCATGATCTCGCGGTTCGTGGGTTCGAGCCCCGCGTCGGGCTCTTTGCTGACTGCCAGCTCGGAGCCTGGAGCCTCTTTCAGTCTGTGACTCCCTCTCTCTCTGACCCTCCCCTGCTCACGCTGTCTCTCTCTCTCTCTCCCCTAGAAATAAATAAAAATATTTAATAAAAAATATTAAAAAAATAATAAAGTATCTATAAGAACACAAGATAAGCTAAATTACTTTGGTAAAGAAGAACATTTTCGTAGATATCCATTTAAATTAATTTCATTCATGTCTAAAGAGCACGAGAATAGATCGATGGTTTTTTTCTTTTCTTTTTGTTTTTTATAGTTTAAATTTAATTTCACAGAGAGCATGTGAGCCAGGGAGGGGGGCAGAGAGTGACAGAGAGACAGAGAGAGAGAATCCTAAGCAGTCTCCAGTCATTGCAGAACCCAAAGCAGAGCTCAATCCCATGACCCCGAGATCATGACCTGAGCCAAACTCAAGAGCTGGGCGATCACCTGACTGGGCCACTCAGGCGCCCCAAAGGCATATATGTTTTGTTGCAAAATATAAAAGACTGTATGTCTCCTTTCTGAGCAGGACAGAGAATAAATACCGTTTCAGGAGGTGCTGGGGGATGACTCAGCGACAGACTCTAGAATCCAATGCAAGCGAAAGCAGCCACAGCCAAGGAGATGAGACTCCATGCTAATGAACTCGTGCTCAAGAAGCTGACATTTTCATGAGGGCAAAACACCGGCTGGAGCAGAGGGAACTGGACCAAACACTAAATGTGATCTGAAAGTGCTTAACGCATTGGCCAGGAGAAGCAAGAACAGATACGGAAGGGAGGTGGGGGAAAAGCCGATTTTCCTCCAGAGTTCCAGATGTCTTTATCGCTGCCTAATGACAATTACACTCGACCAATTAAGACGCCACTATGACAGCTGCATTGTCGGTAAGCCTCTGGACCCCAATGTCGATGGCCCTCTAATTAGTGTCTGTGCAAAGTACAACTGCAACTAATATATTAGCTGATGTAAGAGCACTAAAGAAAAACGGAAGGAGAAAGAAGCCTTTTCAAAATGAGGGAGGGCGTCCCAGCCCAGGGCACGGACCGTGGCACCGTCCGCTCTCTCCATCTCCTCCACGCTTGGCAAGGTTACCTCCAAATAAATAGGTCAGAGACCACAGCTGATTTTTTGTTCAAAGAATGGGAAGAGAGCCTCTCGCAAGCTCGGCACGCCAGAGCAATTGCCAATTTACAATGATTTACCACCAAAGAGCTTCCATTAACCAGTAAGTTTCCACTAAATGGACTACTCATTTGGACTAAGAGACCCGAAGGAAAAGAAGAAAATGCTGTACAGTTAAAACAACAACCACCTTTAGCCTTTCTTCCTGTATAAATATCCAAAGGGGGGGCAGCAGGAGGAAAAGGGGGTGTTTACACTGGGCTGGCACGTGCCTGTACTATCTGCTAAAAACACTTTTTCCCAAGGCTCTCATGACAAACCGGGGGCTGTGTTGATTTAAGAACGCTGTAAGTCAGGTTAAGCGACTTACCCAAGGTCACAAAAAAAACATTTTAGTGGCACAGCTGGGATCAAAACAGGTCCCCAGGCTTTTCTCAAACTGCT